GTGAAATCTTCCAGTCAGTCTCTGTGTTGAATCACTGCCGATCAGATGAAATCAGGCTTAACTTTCCGGTTCTGACCCGATCTTCAGGTATGTCCAGAGGGAAGTCTGTGATTGGTTCTCTGAGCATCATGGGTGGCAGCAGCGGCCCGCTGTACGACCGCGCTCACGTCACCGGAGCCTCATCCAGCAGCTCGTCCAGCACCAAAGGCACCTACTTCCCCCCGGTGAGAGAGAGTCAGAACTCGGCCCGGTCCGTTCCGGTCCCAGCCGGGTTCTGTTCTGTTGTTCTGATGACTCTCTGCTTCCAGATCCTGAACCCGCCTCCGTCCCCGGCCACCGTGCGCTCCCAGTACACCCTGGAGTTTGGTTACTCCTCCAACAGCCCCTCCACTCACCGCTCCTACAGGTACAGGTCCAGTCTGGAACCAGAACTGTCTGACCATTTGGGTTCTGGGGACTGAAATGTGTTGGTTCTTGGGGATCGGGAACCTTCACGTGGAATTCTCTGGAATATTAATCCATGTTTTCCCTCTTCAGCTACCGGCCCTACACCTACCGCCACTTCGCCCCGCCCACCACGCCCTGCAGCACCGACGTCTGCGACAGCGACTACACGCCAGGGCGCCGGCCGCTCAAGTCCGCGGCCGCCGCCAAGGGCTACACCAGCGACCTCAACTACGACTCGGAGCCTTTCCCGCCGCCGCCGACGCCCCGCAGCCAGTACCTGTCGGCGGAGGAGAACTGTGAGAGCTGCCCGCCGTCTCCTTACACGGAGCGCAGCTACTCCCACCACCTGTACCCGCCGCCGCCCTCCCCGTGCACGGACTCCTCGTGAGCAAAGCTCCGCCCTCCCTCACTGTAAATAACAATTGTTTATATCTGAGGTAAAAAAAAAAAAAACATAAAAACAAAAGAAAACAAAAACGGGAAGAGACTGAAGCAGCGACGGAGCGAGGGGATAAAAGGGAAGCGGAGGAAGGCGAGCTGCTGAACTTTTGTACAGAACAGAGAAATCATATTTATATATTTTCTATACTGATGATGATGATGATGCCATAGAATTTGTACATTTTTAACAGAAGCTTTTATTAAACTCGCCACAGAGCAAAAGTTGCCTTAAAGCCGGAGAGAAACGGCGCCGATCAGTTGGACTCCTCTGATGCCAAATACAAGCAGCGGCCACAGGCCCCGCCCACTCAGAGGGCGGGATGGCATCCCGTCAGGATGGGAGGCCGCCCCGTCAGCTCCGCACTGACCCAGCAGAACCTTTCTTTTTGTCCCTCTCCAGCCTCCGTACGGGGGGGCGCTCGCATCCTGATGGGATTCAAACCAAATCGTCTGGCGGCTCTTCTCCGTCGCCGTCTCACACGAGGAGGAAGAACCGCTCCTCATCATCATCACAACTTGTGCCTGAGCAGTGCCACAACTCCATGTGCTTTTATTTTGAAACCCCCCAGAAACTGCAGTGCCCACAGAATGCTCTATAGTATTTTTGTACCACATACTGTGTAGATACGTATTTATAAGCTATATAGGGAATCATTGTAAATGTCTCATCGACCTCCTGCAGCTCTTCTCATTCCTGCTCTTTTTATATTCCCTCCTTCTATTTTTCTACCAAACCAACAACTCTGACAATCTCACAACATATCCAACTTTTTACCGTCGCTCTCGCCTGTGATGCACCCTCTGCTCCTCGGCGTCAGGACGCAGGAGGTCACTTCCTGACCCCTTTTCCAGTCAGGCGTCGCCCTGAGAACGACCACCAGCCCGAATCGAGACAATCTTTCTAACGCTTTGAAACGGAACAAAGGAGCTTCAACTCAGATTTTAGATTTTTGTTTAAACTGGGGGGGAAAAAAGCACACGTTCGGAGGAGTTTTGGGGGTCGTGCAGAAACGTGGTAACGAAGTTAGTGAACCTGTTTGCTGGGCATCAGGACCTGCCCAGCGACCACTGGAAGCACTAATCCAAACCATTAATAAGCTTTAACATGTAAACACCTAAATCTGGCTCTAGAGATGTTTTAGACCCCTTCAGGGGACGTGCAGCCTCTCTATGATTCATAATTCTGGCTGTTTCAGGCTCACACATGGTCTAAGCCTCCATATGACCTTAGATGCGTTCTTCAGGGCAGTCCTGAACCCATCTTGTCCTTCCAAACATGGATGTCTGCTGTCCTGAGTCTCTGAACATTCTATACACCAAGTTTAGTCCTTGTTTGACCTCCATACATCCAGGTTTTGGTCGTCCTGAGTCTGACAGTGTTTCTTGGAGTTAGAAGCCTTAATATTTACGATTTTGTCAGCCTGAGTCTCTGTGACATTTGCTGAGTTCCAGTACAGCATAAGCACCTAGTTTCTGGGCAGAAATTGGACGCCATACCTGGTCCACGGCTAGTTTTTTGGTCGTCTTGAGACTCCATACAGCCTCCATGCGTCCAGCTGAAGATGCCTGTATTTCAGCCCTGCTCCTCTTTTCTGTTGGAAAGGTTCTCGTTTCTGCACTTTAAAACGTTTTTTTTTTCTTTATTGTCTTTTATCCGGTACAAAATGACTGAAACCGACGATGGGCGGACTTTACAGTCTGGTCTGCAATCGGTTTGTAAAATCTGAGACATCAGATATGAACAAAACTTTTTAAAAACTTGTTTAAGCTGAACTGGAATCAAACCTGTGATCTGATTTTATTTTTTTAAAGCCACTAAAGAACCATATGAGGGAAATAATTCAGTGACAGTAAAATAAATGAGAACTTTGATTTGATTTGGCGTTGTTCATGTGTTTTGTGTCTGAAATGTGAAGACGGTGTTGCTTCCAGATTCCCACCAAATATTCTCAATTTTCTTCTTGAGGATTTTCTGTTTGGATGCTTGGAAAAAAAAAAGTTTCAGGATGGATGATGATTTGCTCATCCTTCCTGCAGACTTGCCATTAGGCCTGCAGGGGGTGCTGTTGGACAGAGTGAAAGTGGACAATAAAGGCTCCTAGGAAGTAGAAAGGTTATGAAAAAAAGCACTTTTATTCTCCGGGAATCCTTCATCTCTTTGGATCCGCTGCCGACGTGGACGGTGGTGTCCTCGGGTTCAGCGCCTCCAGCTGCCACAATAAGCTGTTGTTACTCATCAGATGCTGGTTTTGTTTTCTTTTTGTTAAATATAAACTTAGTGAACTTTTCCTGCAGAGTCCGAGTGCTGATTAAACACAAACACGGCAGATAAATCCATGAATGCATTGCTTTTCCCATCAAAATTCCTCATAAACTAAAAAAGAGGGATAATGGTTAAGAACTGCAATTATCTGAACCTTTGTTTAAAAAAATTATGGATCAGCATGAAGTGATTTATGAAGTACGCTCTTTAAGGAAGAATCTGAGTAGCAGTAACCAGATCAGGAAACTGAGCAGGTGTTGATAAACAGCTTTACCCTGCAGAGCAGCTGACCCTGAGCACAGGGTGCTGTGGAGCTGGATTCAGCTGCCCAATCAGGATGAAGATGCATGACCAAGTGGGCTCTAGCCTCTGTTACCACGGTAACGGGTGACCAACTAGAAGAGCTCCTGCCCATGATGCATCCTGAACCTGGAAGGAGCGAGGGAGAAGGCTGCAGAGCTCTGACCAGAAGCAGAACCTGATTTCCTTTTACTACTAGTCTGTAGCATTGATTTCCTTAAAGATTATAATCTGTCAAAATTCAGTCTGAGAGATTAAGAACAAATTGACATTGATAAAAAAGAATAAAAATAAACTAGTAACATAAGGAACATCATTCTAATTGGTTACAGTTTAAGGTAAACTATTGGTTTTCTATTAAATACAGGGTCTCGTATTAAACCATCTACTGAAGCTGTTCTCAGATCAATAATAATCAGGAGTAAAAAGACTCATTTCATGATGGATTAGCTAAGCCAACATCATTCAGGTTTTAATACCCTGTGCCTGGACTTATAAGCCCCAGATGGTGTAGGGTTCTCCTTGAGTGATTCTTAGAACTGTTTACAAAGAAAGCTGTCTAAGCAGCCTGCATTAGACTTTAAAGGTTTACACTAACCAGTGTGTTATTTTATAAACATTCAGAAATCCCTTTCTTTCAGCTAAACACTTGAACTCTAGAATATAAGGATTCAGGACACCATCAGTGTGGAAGATTAGGCCATTATGACCCAACGGCCCATCATAGATTTTGATGGATCTCAAAGAGTTAAAATCATAAAGTCCTACATCCCTTTGATTTATGTGAAGGCTGGCCTCTTTCTCCTGTTTTAGGTTGATTTTAAGCAAATATGGGAGAAACTGTTTTATTAAAAAGGAAATGAATGGAAAAGCATTACCTTTCAATTAAAATAATATATAACTCCAATTTTTGACATGTTTGCTGATCATCAGCAGGTTTTATGGTGAGGAGAGGGGAACTTCATGGAACCATCAGGGATTATAATCCTCAAAATTACTTAATATTTTAATTAGTCAGAAATGACATTTGCAGTTCAGTATCTTTCCACTTCAACTGAGTATAACTAGGAGTCTTATATGGACAGAGTAAAGAAAATGAAACCTTTTCTTCAGTTCAAAGTTTTGCTTTCCCCTCATATTTGCAGGTTAACTGTCATTTCTTTCTTCCATTACTGTTTTATTTCTTCTCCAATTTCAATGTTATTTTGACCTAAAACCCCTCCACCGATTTCACATTAAAATATTTCAATTGATTAGTGCACCGTATTTCTTTTTACTAAATTGATCAGTTTCACTTTTTAGTTCCGGATTTTTGTTTTTACCGTAATAACAAACCCTCTGCGCTCTCTATCAGCTGTCTTCTCCCTTTATTTAAATGCTAAACCTGGGGCTCTCAGTTATACACTAATCATTCGTATTTGTTTATTTTCTTTAAATACACAATTATTCCATATTTACCCCCCAAAACATGTAACTATTTAAAATATATGTTGTGTTACTATTTTATAGATTGCGGTACCTATTTGACCCCGCCCTGACCCTCTGCTCTCTGATTGGTCGGTTGCGGTCAGCTGACCTGAGCGCAGCGGAAGTGGAGAGCAGAGCGGCAGTGAGAAGGTGAGGTAGTAAACAAAAATAAACACCGCTTAATTTTTAAGGAAAAAGGACGGTTCTGGAGCCGGCCTGGACTTTCTTCGGTGAGTAAGGATGTCAGCCAGTGTTTTGACTCGTTTCTGTGTTCCGGTGGGTCCGGTTCTAAGCAAAGGCCCGAGGTGCGCGGTCCCGATACCGGAGAGTCGCGCTCGGCCCTGGAACACGAACCTTCCGCTTAGACGGAGAGAATTAAACCCTGCGAATTGATTCTTCAATCGAACAATTGATCAAAAAGTACTTAGCGTAGCCGTAATGACGTTTATCATCTGCTGCGTCAGAGCGGACGCGGGGCTTTCCGGTGTTGTGCCACAATCTGTTCCCCTGTGAAAATCTGTAGCCAGAGAGGCCAGTTAGTTATCGGCGTTTTTCCTACACTTGTCTAAAAAAACGACAAAACTCACTGTTTATTTATTTATTTTTTTTTATCTTTTCCTTAAAACCAAAGCAACACATTTAAAATTTTACTAATTTTCCGCTGTTTAATGCGTTTTAACCAAGTTTCGTGTGACGGAACCAACTAATCACTAGTTTTATGATTAGATTTATGATTTTATAGCCTGCTGATAAAAGGACTGAAGCTGACTGAGCGTGATGTGCAGGACTATAGCAGAGACACAAACACCATAACTCAAAATATGCATTAATTCTGTTTATTTCTTATTGCTAATTTTTGATTTTTAGTGTCTGTTTGTGGGATTTTAGCAGCAGTAAATGTATTATCGCTTTATCAACACTGTCACTCAGTAGGATAAAGGTCAGGAGGAAGCAGGTATTTCAGGTGTTCCTCTCCATTATATGGAAAGCTGTTCATTTAGCAGCACGTGCCTCGCTCTTTTTCCTCTCATCGAGGACAATGACTCCTGTGGATATGAAAACATTTGCACTTTATGTTCCAAAGTTAGACACCAAAAATTCCCTGCAGCTGACAGCCTGCATGACGTCACGCCGGTGATTTGAACCTGCCTAGTCACCATGGCGACAAGCAGAGATTACGTATCCTGCAACTCTTTTAATTGCTTTTTAGCTGAAGCTCAGAAGCATTTTAATGTGTGGCTGAAGAACCAGTTTGGATTTTGCTGCATTCGACACAGCTCTTTAGGTTAAGAGTTTAGATTTGACAAATGTTTTATTTATGTTCTATCTGAATAGAAAAGATTTGAATCTGCCAGATCTCTAAAGGCATATCGAAGCCTGTTTGATTGGCTTTGAGATCAGAATAAGCTCACTAGTGGTGAGGTCAGAGGATACTGTCCAACCAATCAGAATTTAGTTTCACTTTTAACAATAGAATCATTCATTTAGGGATCCATTGGACAATGACAGATGACTGATGCGGTTTTCCTAAAACATTAATTGTTCATTGTGTTTATCCCTTTTAGTTTTGTATGAAAAATAGATTTTAAACTAACTCCACTGCCTAGTGTATCCCTTTAGTCATGTAAAAAAAACAATTTAAGGTCAGATCGCCGTACGCCTAAAAAAAAAAAAAAAACTAAACCTAAGCCATTAAATAGTTTTTTTGTACAAAACTAAAGGGATAAACGGGTATTGACTATGGGTAAGCTCATCTGACAGAACACCGGCCCCTGTAACAAAATACATTTGTAGTACATACATTTTAACATGTGCTGGAGCAGAAAACAAAATCATTACCTTTTTTATCAGTGATTTCAAAATCAATTTGTTGCACTTTTAGCTTTCAGTCATTATGAGATAAGATTGCAATTTGTATTTGCTAGATCGGAGGTTATTGCGGCTGCAAATGGCTCTTTGGTTCACTAAAGCCGGGCATACACTCTACAATAATTTTTTTTGCCCTTTTTCGGACCGATTCTCCGGTCGTGTGAGAATTTTTAGATAATTTTCAGACTGATGATGCGTCTTGTAGTGTAAAGGAGGTAACGAGGGGCGATCAGCCTCTGATGACCATCTCTTGATCAGGAATCGTGAAGTCGGGAGAAAATCAAACATGTTTGAAATTCAGTCGGCCGTCATAAGGTGGTCGTGGGCAAATCGCTCAGTGGGCAAACAAGGATTCCTCTTCTTCTTCCTCTCAGATGAAAACATAGCAGCATGGCGGGGGTGCAATGAGGGAAATTGATTTTTTTCTGTAAATTGACAGAGCGTAGTAGCAATGTTTGCTCAGCCATGTCTTTTTCCAAATACGTTGTTGCCTTTTCTTTTTAGGGCTTTTAGCACAAAATTGCAAGAATTGCCAAGGCAGCGCGTTTCTCTCTAGTGAGCTTCATATTCCTCTTCTACTCATTTGGCTGCTGGATAGACGAGTCAGAGAGAGAGAGAGTCATGGGTACTTGTGGCATTAAAAATATTTCTAAGAGCATTACAAAGCATTAAATTAGAGTTACTCATTCCTGTATAAACCCTTTTACTGCGGCTTTTCTTTAACAGTGTGGCTCATTAGGAGTCAGTCTGGCCAACAGCTTGGATCCTTCTCTGTTGATGTTTAGTTTTGTTTAATTCTTCTTTTGTTGAGCATTAATGTCGTAGGGTAGTCATATTTAAATGCCAAAACATTCTGCCTTAAACATGTATATAAATATACCCTTTATCAGAAGATATTGTTCCAAAAGTTAGAAAATTTCTATTTAAAAAACAAAATCTGTATTTTTGTCCCCGTTATCTTCCGCAAGCCAGTTCTACGTCAGCCTGAACAACTAACTTCAGCCAATCATATATCAACGGTTATCTGTCAATTGTTTTTCAGTCAAAGCATCTTGATTTATATGTTGCAGCTAATATACTCAACGGTTGAAATAAGAATAATTTCCTTTCCCATTGAGTTCCGTCCCAGTGTTCACGGGGATGGACGTCTGTGTCTTCAGCCGGTGTAGAGCTAACAGAACTGGCAGCGTTGCGAGGCAAGGGCTCAAACATGTACGGCTGGAAGCCTTCTACACCAAACCAAGCTTCTGCCGCGCTGGCGTCCTCTTCCACAACATCTTCGTCCCCGCTTTCCTCCTCTAAATAAAAAATGTATCACGGAGGAGACTCATCCACGACCTCCGACACTAAACTCTCCTCCTCTTGCATGTTTCCTCTGTCCATAGCGTTCCTTGACAGTGTCGTTGCCATAGATATCCATAATAAAGGCTAGATGTCTCGGCCGCGCTGCTGGCCAATGGGGGTCGACGTCCGCACGTGGCGGCCATCTTGCCACAGGCAGCTCGCTCATTCGTAACATTGTGTTTTAAAGGCGCATGTACTTAAATAACCATAACTTCCTCAATTGTCTAACTGTTTGGTTTGTTAAACAAAAGTCAGACATGTAGTTATGACACTGCACACTTATGAATAATTATAACCATGGAATTTCATATGAAAAGAACATTGAATAGAACATACAGGTGCAATAAATATACACATGCACAAGGTATTAATGTTAAATCAATATATGCTATTAAAACTCAGTGTACTGAATGGCAACATGATATATAGATATACCTATAGGTATCTATATCTATATAGATATCTATCTATATAGATATAGATACCTATATATATATATATATATATATATATAGGTTATGTACAAAGATATATATATATATATATATATGTATATATATATATATACATATATATATATAAATAAACACTTTTATTTGGGTGTGATTAATTATTTCACAGTCCTAATTTATTTATATTTACATACATACTTTTATAATATGAATATTATTGTTATAATAAAATATGAAATACTGACAGAAAAGGCTTATTGTGTGGCATCCTCTTGGTGTAGAAGCATAATCCAGGTTTCAAATTAAAGGTAACACTTTGAAGTTTCATGTAGACTATTCGGATTATATATCAGGAGTAATTACACAAAAGTTCCTATTTTTAAACCATTATAAAAGTGACATTTATTTGCTATTAAAATTGGTACAATAGTCCCCTTCACAAGTATATATAGATGTAGCATGTTGAAATCCCCACCTACACTACTGTGATGGTATACACATGGAAGACAGATTTAAAAAATGACCCAAAAAACATAGCTTGGCTAATGCCCTTTGAAAAGGAAGGTTTTATTGAGCTTCTGTGTAATGTACAAGAGAGCGTTGTCCACAAGGCCATCAAAGCAGACAGGAAGGTAGCTGTGGTCATGTACTAGCGCAGGAATGTCAGCAAACGGGGATGGACGATCTTCTCCTCCTGCTTACACATTATATAACCTGCAGAAACAAAAACAAAAGTGACCAACAACAATTCACGGTGTATAAGATTGGTATATCAATATGTGATTAAATTTCAATGATACACATGCCCTTTGAAGATGAGCTGGAAAGTTGAAAATGTTTGGCACAACACCATCTTTAAGTTGTCCAAATGAAACTAATACAAGCTTATAAAAGCTTTGAGTCAACAACAATCTTGTAATACTATTATGTCATAGCAAAAGTCTGGCTTCTTCCTTTTAATAAACCCAGCAAATTCCTGTAACATAATGTAAGATGTGTTGACAAACCAAATCGATTGGAAATCATGTTAAATTCTGCCTCTTCCACTGATGTAAAGTTGCTGGTTAACGTTAGCAGCTAGCTAAACTGTAACGTTAGCTGCTAACTTACTAACGTTAGGTCTCACTTTGCAGCTTCTTGTTATTAGCCAGCTAACGTTAGGCTAATAATGAAAATACAACAACACTCAGATTATTGTTATTAGCAGACTAATAACTACAACCACATCCACAAAGATTGTAATTTACACCAAAGATTAATTGTCATACAATCGTTATTGGTGTCAGTAAAACCTATATAATTGACTGATAGTCTCAGCCTTGATAACTTGCGCAAGTAGCCGTGATGCACAACTATGCTGCGCGATTAAGTCATTTTTCGACAAGAAAATCTGCAATTTCGTCATGTTCAAGCATCAAGAATAATAGCCACGTTCATAATGTTTGAAAGAAACCAAACTGTTTCTAAATCCGTCAAGAATTCAGTGAGGTAAGAGTATTTGTGTTCGTGCTGATCACTCACCTTACATTAGGTACCACAGAGCACAACAGAAAGCCTGCCTGAGGCAAGATGGCTGCCGGTGATGACGTTTGAGACTCCGCCGTAAGACATCTAGCCTTTATTATGGATATCTATGGTCGTTTCTAAGTCACCAATTTAGTGCTACTTGGTCCCAATGGAATTTCCCATTGGGAACCTACTAGCACTAAGTTGCTAACTGGTTAGCAAGATGCTTCCGACAAACTAGCTACAATCAAACTTGCTTACAAATTTTCCGCCACAACAATCCCGCCACCTTGATGTTCGACCAATCACATTCACTTTATTCACTCGTGTAAAGTCGGGCACCACTAGGGAGAATTTGGAAATGCAACAGTTGGAACGGCCGCTTATCTACGACTTTAATATCTGCGTCAGAGCCTACTGATTTGATTGATTCCAGCTTCCTGTGTTTTTTTAGATTCCATCAGCCATCAGAATGCAGAGCACCTCCAATTACCTGTGGCTGACCACGGATCAGCTGGGTCAGGGAGCTACCGCAAACGTTTATCGAGGACGACACAAGGTATGAGCTCCGGCACTCACAGTTAGTCCTGGATCAGTACCGCTTCCCATTTTTAAACCTCTCAGGTAGTGATGTCTGAATCCGGTTATGTGTGCAGAAAACTGGCGACCTCTACGCTGTCAAAGTGTTCAACAACCTGAGCTTCCTGCGGCCGCTGGACGTCCAGATGCGTGAATTTGAGGTTCTGAAGAAGCTCAACCACAAGAACATAGTGAAGCTGTTTGCTGTGGAGGAGGAGGTGGGCTAGCAGGGCGTCGCTAATTCTGAGCTCAGGATGTAGAAATGTTTCTGATGACCTTTTTTCCCTTAGACCAACACACGCAATAAGGTTCTGGTCATGGAGTATTGTCCCTGTGGGAGTCTCTACACCGTTCTAGAAGAGTCCACTAACGCCTACGGTCTCCCTGAGGATGAGTTCCTCATCGTTCTTCATGATGTTGGTAAGAAAGTTCCCCTGTTGATCTGGAACTTATCCTGTCAGGGTGTTTTAACCTGAAAGTATGTCCTGTGTCCTGCAGTTGCAGGTATGAACCACCTGAGGGAGTATGGCATCGTTCACCGGGACATCAAACCAGGAAACATCATGAGGGTGATCGGAGAGGACGGACGATCTGTTTACAAGCTGACAGACTTTGGTGCCGCCCGGGAACTGGAGGACGATGAGCAGTTTCAGTCTCTGTATGGCACAGAGGAGTACCTGGTGAAGAACGGACACCTGGGGGGATCCATGCGCCTTGGCAGATGGGTCTGTGATTCTGAGTGGATGTTAACCTCCATGTTTGTCTCTGGCTCTGCAGCATCCCGACATGTATGAACGAGCCGTTCTTAGGAAGGACCACCAGAAGAAGTACGGCGCCACAGTGGACCTGTGGAGCATCGGCGTGACGTTTTACCACGCCGCCACCGGGAACCTCCCCTTCCGGCCATTTGAAGGGCCACGCAGAAACAAGGAAGTAATGTAAGAGCTTATTTTGGCTAATTATTGGTTAGGGTTAACCCTAACCCAACAACAGCTGACCGCAGAGAGCTAAGCACTGGATGTTCTCCCTGTTTTTGGTCTCAGGTATAAAATCATCACAGAAAAACCATCCGGAACGATTTCAGGTCATCAGAAGTGTGAGAACGGGAAGATCGAGTGGAGCACGGAGATGCCGGTGTCCTGCAGTTTGTCCAAGTAGGAGCCATTTTAAGAAGTTTATGGTTTAATTTCATCCCTCACTCCAAAACTGTAAATCTAAAAAAGTAATTTTTTCTTAAAATTTGTCAATTTTATTCTTGAACTAAAGAGGAAAGAGAGACCCTTTGCCAATTGAACAAGACAATTTATATTTTAAATAAAAAAAAAGTATTGGATTATCTTATGCTACGTTCACACGTTTACATTCAAAGTCAATGGTTGATGCGGATCAAGGTGCAGCAAAAGGTCACGCGGTGCTTTTTGAGCAGCAGGAGCAGCGCCTCACGAGCTGCTGAGCATCTGACGTGAGCAATGCGCATCAGAAGCAGCACCTGCTGGAGTTGGAAAAATGTAACTTTTCCGTACAACGCGCGACATCAACCAATCAGAGAAGCTGATCTGGGAGCTGGCAGGGAGACAGACAGCACTGATGCAGAAAGCTATAATCACTCCTCTGAAACAGTTTATCAAAGCCTAAATTAACTTAAGATGTTGAAACCTGCAAAAGAAATGTTCGTTTTTATTATTCTGAAGCCTGCAGTTTGGATTATGTACGTGAAAAAACGCTAACATCTACTTCCAGCCGCCATGAACAATCGTGGATAAAAATGCGAAGAGGCGACCGGGCCAGAGGCTGTTGTTGAACGGGATTCCCAGAGACGGCGAAACGCCGGTGTACGGGGTCAGAGTGGCTCTAACAGAGAAACAATATTTGAAGGCAGGATGGTAATCTGGATGAACTGACTGCACACATGAAGCTTTCAGGCAGACTGTCTCATTTAAAACACCATCGGCACTGCCCCCTGGTGGTCAGAAGGGATTAAATAGAAAAAAAGGTTACATATGTAAATATTGTTCTATGAACCCTGTGTCCACTGAGATTATCTGTCAATCAAATTGACTCACCTTTGTTACCTTTAGCTCAGACTTGGTCCCTACCAGTTTTTTGATTCTCCTCCCACCTTTGTTTCTTTCTCTCAGGGGCCTTCAGAGCCTCCTGACTCCGGTTCTGGCCAACATCCTGGAGGCGGATCAGGAGAAATGCTGGGGCTTTGATCAGTTCTTTGCAGAAACCAACGACATCCTGCACCGGACGGTGGTCTACGTCTTCAGCCTGCAGCAGGCCACGTTGCACCACGTCTACATCCACGAGTACAACACGTAAGTTCTGCGTCAGGTTACGTTCAGAACAGCCGTCGTAGCCCAGGTTTGTGACTGATGCCACCTTCCCTTCAGAGCGGCGCTGTTCCAGGAGCTGCTGTGCCGCAGGACCAGCATCCCGTTGCACAACCAGGAGCTGCTGTATGAGGGCCGGCGCCTCGTCCTGGACCCGAACCGGCAAGCCAAAACCTTCCCCAAGACCTCCAGAGACAACCCCATCATGCTGGTGAGCCGCGAGGTTGTTAACACCGTTGGAGTGATCTTCGAAGACCGTAAGACTTTCTGCTGATCTAAGTTAGGTGATCCTCTCATTGAATCCCCTGTCACACCTTTAGACCACTGTATGCCTGACGTAGGAAAAATCTGGAAAAAAAACGCTGGCATAGGTTGGATCATTTATGAGTACATTTTGTATAAGTTAGGAGCACGAAGAAGCACGTCGACTTACGGCGAACATGTATGCTGTACGTGGGTTAGGGTTAGGGTTAGTAAGTTTGTTGTTGACATCCGTTAAGTGTAAGTTACTCATAAGTCGTGGCATCTAGCTTATCCAAAACCTAAGAGTTTGTTGTGCATAACTTCTGCGCAACTTATCCAGAACTTCTCTCCAACGCATATCAACGCATCTGACGTGTTCCAGACGAGCTGAACGTGTTTATAACTTCCAGCTACTGTTTAATGGCGCATTGGCAGCGTTTTGGTACAAAGGAGTTTCACAGGAGGAAACCATAAGTTCTCCTCCAGACTTTATCCTCATCATAGGGTGAGCGTAAAGGTGAGTGTGATGGATCCTTCCTGCGTTCACGACCAACACACTTCCTAGCAGACATGAAGCTGAATCTGCTGCCACTGCAAACCTTCTTTCTTTCTTTTTCTTTGTGTTTATCTATTATTTGTTTGGTTGGGCGGTAAACAGGTTAATACCGTGATCAACGACATCTTAGCTTGTGCATCGTTTCCTGGGAATCACACTGCTGTGTGTTATGCATACGTTAGGCTGTTGTTGGACATAAGTTCTGGACTCGTTATTAATACACTATATATACGCCCAAATTGGAAAAAATATATAGAAAGTTCAGCGTATGTCAGCGTTTTAGGAGATTCTGGGACGTCAGGCATACAATGGCTAAATCGCCAAGGTGTGACAGGGCCCTCATTATGAAGCTTCACTGAAAGTTTTTGTTTTCCTCCACAGCGTGTCCTCCGAAGGTCCAGCCTCGCTATGACCTGGACCTGGATGCCAGCTATGCTAAGGTATGACGGGTTTTAGGACCTGTACATCCCAAAGAGCACATTGATCTGCCCGCCCGACTCGCTTTGACTCCGCTGTTGTTCCTCAGACTTTTGCAGGAGATGTTGGACATCTGTGGAAAACCTCTGAGTCTCTACTGGTTTATCAGGAACTGGTGCGGAAGGGAGTCAGAGGATTGATGTGAGTCATACGGTGGCCTGGAAGGACCACAGAGCTGCATGTGGATATATAATCTAACATAATGTGCTGCAGAGTTTATTCATCCCCGTTTGTTGATCCTTGCAGTGAGCTAATGAGGGAGGACTACGGTGAAATTTCCCGCAAGAAGTCAGAGGTCTTCCACCTTTGCAACATCTGCTCACAGCTGCTGGAGAAGTCCGAGCAGCTGTGAGTCTTTAACCCAGTCGGATGCAGCAGTAATCAGAGCCAAATTAAGAAGAAGAAGCAACATCTCTCTGTGTGATCTAACTCTTTGCGTGTTCTGCTGCAGAATGGAGGTGCTGGCGCGGGCCAACATGCTGACGTCAGAGTTCGAGGAGATCTCAGACATGCATAAGAAGGTTCTCAGGGTGAGTGTTTTTCCTCCATTGGTCCTGATCGGTCAGGCTGTGGTGATCAGCTTCAGCTGGTTACTACGGAAACGGGTCTGTTTATGTGTTAACTGTCAGGTTCAAGCCTTGAAGCAAAAACAGCTTTTTTTATCCACTGATCTCTATTTATTCACTGGATTGCTGGTAGTACGGGGTTAAAGTGAAGCCACCGGCAGCCATATTATTACTCCCTAGTTAGACTGATCATAATGTAAACAATACTTGCTCTACAGCATCAAACGACGATGGTGTTCTCATTTTCAGGGGCACTTAAGACTTTTAAAATAAAGATAAATTGATCTCTTGGAAACACACTGGCTGTTTCATCAGTAGATTACTTGAATTTATGATCCCTTTGCATGTTCATTATGAAGTCTATAAATCATGTAATATAGCATAATAATATAATACAGGTGTGCCAAAAGTGCTAAAATGATGATGTACATGTAATACACATGTATTTATTACATAGTTACAATAATTACATCTAACATGTCTAATAATGCATGATATATATATATATATATATATATATTAGGGATGGAACGGTTTATGAAAACTGTCAGAACCGTTTGGTTCGACTGTCTCGGTTCGGTTCGCGTGTGTTTCGTTCGGTTCATGCGCTGCTCCTTTTTCTCATAGGCGAAGCGTGTACACTCCAGAGCAGAAGGTGGCGGTACTGCAATCAAAGCCAACCACCAGTAGTAAACAAGAAGAAGAAGAAGCGAAGCAGCGTAGCCGGGTGTAGCAGAAAAAAATCAGTTGTTGTGGAGAATTGTGTGGGTATGGTGAGTGGGAAAGAACTGGAGTTGGAAGACGCGCCAGCAGCACTTTATAGTAGGGTTGGGAATTGAAAAGATTTTCACGATTCCGATTCCCTTTTCGATTCTATGAAACGATTCGATTCTTTATCGATTCTTTTTTCGATTCCAATTTGGGGGAAAAAGGAGAACAAACAGTTTGATTATCAGCATCAACTTTGTTTACTTAACTATTGCACAATCTTACAAACTCAACAAGATCAAGATGTCCAGAGGAAATGTGAAACTGGAGTAACATCTGTGTTTAAATGAAAAATAAATATACAAGAACAAACTTAATAACCAACAATGTCTAATAACAAATGATGGGATAATAACCTATTTTAAATAACAAAAAATACTAACTATAAAACAGTAGTAGGGAAAATTAACAGTTCTTTTGCAGAAAGATGAGCATATCTGCTTTTTCTGGAAGGATACGGGATCTTTCAGGGCTTATGGTGTCTCCAGCCGTGGAGAACACCCTCTCAGATGGGGTGGAGGAAGCCTGCACACAGAGGTAGTTTTCAGCCAGTCCAGATAGCAAGGGCAGCGTATCTTGCTTGTTCCACCACCACAGTGTGGCGCTATCCCTGCAGGGGATGGAGGGCAAGCTTTTATAGAGCTGGATTTCCTGATCTACCCTCTGGGCTAAGGAAAGACGGGGCTTTGATTCACAAAGTGACCGCAGCTCGTTGTCTTCCTCCTCGAATAGTTCTTCCAACTTGCGTAACTTGCGTAAGTTGCGTAACTTACGTAAAAAACGTGACGTAAGTCGTGCTCCCCAGAGCCGGCGCTCTAGGCTCTGGTGCTGCGGGAATCGAAAAAAGAATCGTTCAGCGAGCTGCCAAACGATGCCATGGAATCGGAAAATACGGAACCGGTTCTTAACAGGAACCGGTTTTCGATTCCCATCCCTACTTTATAGGTCTGCTGTATGGGAGCGCTTTGCATTTAGAGTGACCTACGATGACGGCGGAAAGAAAGTTGTGGATAAAAGTGCAACAGTGTGCAAGCATTGTGCAACACGTTTTGTTTATGCTAACAGCAACATGACCATAATAGATTTTCCTAACAATGAACATATACCGAACCGAAAACCGTGACCACGAAACCGTGAATCGAACCGAACCGTGGATTTTGTGAACCGTTCCACCCCTAACACAAACACTATAAAAATAACAGCATTATCCACTTAATAAAGAATTACTACATTGACATTTCACAGTGAATTACTTTCTATTACTCTACTCTTTTTTTTTTTCTAACCTTACACATAATGTCGATGGCTAACTCAGTCAATATCTCCCAGTCAGTCTTGAGATAGCCAGACTAATGTTACACTACACACTATACTATAGAAACATTGGTGTATATATTGATTTTCTTGGTTAGTTCATCAACTGACTGTGAAATTACCAGTAGAACATCTTCCTACAGTCGACAAACTGCTTGTTTTTAGCAGCCAAATGCCACACAGGAAGCCATTTTTATGGCGAGTCTCTGTGGAAGTGGGGATTACCAGCATGGTAGACGCTGGCTTCACTTTTTTCCAGTGATCAGCATCCAGTGAATAAATGGAGATCAGTGGTTTTACCACTGCAGTGAAATCCTGGTGTTCAGTAATAAAAGGTTCTCTGGTTTGGTTCTGCTCTACATGCCGTTTAAAGGCTTTATGAATAGAAAGGCATTAAAACCAAAAACAACAGGAGCCTGTGAAGTTACTGAAGCTGAAAATCAAACATTGGATTAAAACATGGAGGTGCCTCTTCCTGTCTCTGACCTGGGAACTCTCTGCAGATATCAGGCTCTCTGGAACCCATCGAGAGAACAACACAGGACATCAAGAGTAAGTTCCTAAACGGAGGCCCTTTGACGGACACCTGGACGCAGCAGGTCGGGACGCACCCCGAGGACAGGAAGTAAGAGTGTTGCTTTAACGGCCTTAAAGTGGGAAGGTGTTGGGTTTGTGTTTTTTTGACAAGTTTCTTTCTGCAGTGTGGAGAAAATTAAAGTGCTGCTGGACGCCATCACAGCCATCTACCAGCAGTTCAAGAAGGACAAAGCAGAAAGACGTAAGACGCAGACACCCTGTCCACAGCAGCATTAGGGGACGTCCAGGAGACCCCCCCACTGACTTGGAATATTCTCTCTGTGTTTTCAGGGCTGCCGTACAACGAGGAACAGATCCACAAGTTTGATAAGTACGTCCATGATGCAAAAACCTAATGAAAGCCTTGGGGTGGAGTGACTGTAGGTCCATCAGCCCCCACCCTTAGTGTCCCCACCACCTTTCATTACAAAGTTACACCCTTGAATAAACCTATAGGGTGGCAAAACAACTTACAGCAAACCGTTGTCAAGTAATACAAGAAACATGATTCAAACTCAGCAGAAAATTCCTCCAGGAAAAGAAAGAAAACTGCTTCTGTGCAACATTCAGCAACAAATCAGACAAACTTAGCACCCTTTGCATTGCTAGAAATGTGGCCATCATATCGATTCGCTCCAAAGTGCCCCTCACATTCAGTGCTTAGAGCATCGCCTCGGCTGGTCATTACCAATAAAATAAACCAGTTTCCTAATTAAATTACAATTTAGATTTCTGTAAAAATATGTTTCTGGTTTATGGAGTAAAAAGATGAGAAACTTATGACCCAGGAAATCGGTAGGTTTCTGAATCAGAATCAGACATACTTTAATAATCTCAGAGGAATATTACTTAAAGGAATAGTACACCCAAAACATGATTAGCCTTCATTTTCTACTCACCCCCATGCTGAACAACACTCTGGAGTACTTTTTTGATATCTCAAATGCATCTGGAGATCTGGGAGGCTTCTTGCTGTCTGCTGACATTCAAATAATGGAGGTCTATGGCGCCCGAGGCAGAAAGGTCCATAAAAGTCCACAAAAAACGTGTCAATATTCCTCCATACTGGTCGTCCAATGTATTCCAAGTGTCCTGAGTGGGTAGCGTCCATAATTTACTCGAAACGAAGTCATTTAGAATGTTTTTAGAGCATAAACAGTAGTGTATAGGATTTCCTGAAAGCGCGCACATGCGCGATCACGACGCTACGGAAGCCGGCAGACCAAACCAGATGAAAGTGCACACCAGATGAAACAGCAAGAAGCCTCCCAGATCTCCAGATGCATTTGAGATATCAAAAAAGTACTCCAGAGTGTTGTTCAGCATGGGGGTGAGTAGAAAATGAAGGCTAATCATGTTTTGGGTGTACTATTCCTTTAAACCACAGCATTGGCAAAAAAAACGTTAGTGATTAGTTTCTCTATATAGAATAAATTGGTTCTATTAAAAAAATACTAACCAAATATTTAAAGTTCCCGTTTAGTTTGGAGCTACGAGAAAACACAATTTTAAAATCTGGAGATTTAATTTAACTCCAATTCAGATTATTTCTATATACGCCAATTCATAACACACGTCATCTAAAAGCACTTTACAATTCAACCAGATCATCCAGTCAGATTGATTTTTAAAGGAAAACCAGTTGATTGCATCAACTCATTGACTCAACGGCAATCCCTCACAGTAAGCATGCTTGTAGCGACAGTGGAGAGGAAAAACTCCATTTTAACAGGAAGAAACCTCCAGCAGTAACTGGAGAGGAAAATTAGGGGAACAATTTTCAAGGATCGGGAAAGCTTAGGTTGGTAATGAAAAGGAAAACTAAAGACCTGTCTGAGTTGCCTTTCCCCGGTTTTTATGCTCCTACAGGCAGAAGTTGGTCATCCATGCCGGTAAAGCCCGCTCTCTGTTCACGGACGAGTGCGCCATGAAGTACCGCCTCTTCATTTCTAAGAGCGAAGAGTGGATGAGGTGCGGTTCTGATCCGTTGTCCGTGTTTTTAGTTGGTCACGCGGCTTTGACCTTCAGCTGGTTTCTCTGTTTGTCTGCAGGAAGGTTCATCATGTGAGGAAGCAGCTCCTCAGCCTATCAGGACAGCTGATGAGCGTGGAGAAGGAGGTGACCATGCTGATGGACCGGGCCATCAAGGTAAAGCAGGATGTTCTCACCCTGGGGATGAAGACGCTCCTCCTCGTCAGGTCACTATGGAGACGAGCTGAGGCTCTGTGTTTGTGTTGCAGCTGCAGGAACAGCTGCCCCAGAAAGTGGTGCCGAACGTGATGAAGCCTCAGCCGTACCTGAGTCCCAACACACTGGTGGAGATGACTCTGGGGTGAGAACGTCAGACCTTCATCCTGTTCTCATTCGGGTCAGAGTTCGCTCACATAACCTGCTGCTCCTCTTCCTCAGGATGAAGAAACTGAAGGAGGAGATGGAGGGAGTCGTCAAGGAGCTGGCAGAAAACAACCACTTCTTAGAGAGGTCCGCTCACAGGTTCTGTTGGTGTCCGGATCAGTGTGTTCTGACCAGTGGCGGCTGGTCAGCAGAGGGCGCTAATTAAGACATTTAAAAAAACTAGAAAATTTATCATTTTAAATTCAAATTTAAAATATTTGCAAATATATTGGTATTTAGTTTTTAGATGTGTAAGATAAATATTTAATATTTAATGACTAGTAAAGCTTTACAAAATCTTTGCCCATTGACTCGTTAAAAGTTATACATGCGCAGAAGCTCCCCTGCAACACAGAAGTATAGGAAAGATGATGGGAAGTGTATTTGCTCACCACCTCCCGCCGCTACAGCGCAGACGTTTTGCGGGTGATTGACAGGTCTAGTTGCGGGAGATGGAGATGCTTTGGAGAGAGAAATTGCAGAAGAAACGTTGTTTTCCAGGACCTGGTCTAGCAAGAAGGCTTGGCTAGCAGCCTGCAGCGAGGCTAAAGCTTTATCCTGCTTTCCCTGCCTTCTTTTTCAAACGTCAGGATCTGAGCCAGCAAGGATAAAGACAGATAGAACTGATTGAATGAACAATCTGGGATTAACATGGAAAATAATAGAATATAGTGTACTTTTTCTAGATGTTTGATAATTTGCATAGTTGCTCTTAAATAAACACATTCTCAGAAAATAGTTTTTATATATTAAAAATATAAAGCTGACTAATACCTTCTCGTTTAATTAACTGCTACATTTTTTTTTTTAGGTTTGTGACACAATATTGGACAAAAATATCCAAAAACAAAAGCAGGGTTGCCACAGGGTCATTAAAAATCATTATGTCATTAAATTATTATTTTTTTTACATTTTTGCTTTAATTGGAATTGAAATTTATTAAATGCGATTATCGTGGCATTTAAAATGCTTTATTAAAAAAAAAAGTTTATTAAAAAAATTTGGTCAGATATATTATATCAGATATAACATGTTCTGCATGTTTGCGCTGAAACGCTCCTCCGGTTGATCGTAAAGCCGTATGTAAAATGCAATATATATATAATGAAATTATTTCTAAGAGCACTAAAAAGCATTAAATTCCTGTATAAACTTTGAAAAAGTAAACCTATATGTGAAATAATATTTTGCTTTATAATGTTTTTTGTTGTTGTCATTCATTTAAATATACTGGTGTGATAACATTGTATACATTTGATTGTTTTTTTGGTATACGTCTATTTTAAATTTCTAACCCCCCCATGGAGAAAACTGCACCAGCCGCCACTGGTTCTGACCCGTCTGATTGGACCGCATGTTAACCTGAGAACCTGTTCTTCTGCAGGTTCGGGACTCTGACCATGGATGGAGGCCTGAGAGGCTGACCGGACTGCAGCGCTCTGTACATATTCTCTGTAAATACTATCAGACTCTGACGGGTCGGCGGACCCGACCTGCTGGGAAAACATTCTATCGGACCTGTTCTGTTGGATCCAGACAGCGCCATCATGACACAGACTTCGTTTCTCAACCACGGATGTTTTCTAGGACCTTTGGCAGAATGGAGCAGGAGGAAAGTTGTGGATCAGAATAAAATTCTGTGGGAGGTTCTGAGAATAAATAAAAAAAAACATGGTGAAAGATATTAACTTTAAAGTGACCCAGTCACTAATCTCTAAACTAGTTAAAACTCTGGTTTTATATACAGGCTGATTAAATGAAGCTGCTCTGATGGCTCATTATTCCTTCATTTATGTATTTTTCTTTAAGTTCACCCTGTTTAGTATTTGCCATATTGAGAGCAGGTGTATTACATGTGTGCAAAACAAGGAAGCAGTTTTCTAAGTGGAGCAGTGAAATAGAGAAGTCAAAAATCAAGTGTGTAAAACTTCCAATAATATCAGATAAGAAGGTAAACAAGTATCGCTTTCTGCCAGCAGGAGGCGACAGTGGACTACATCTACCTTTTAGAGGCTTAAGTGACTGGGCTCCTTTAAATGTTTGGAGAGCATTACAATGGATTCAATTAAAATGTTTATTTAGTGATATATCCCAAATTAAAGGTTTCTTTTGTTTTTAGTAAAAACAGGATCTGTTCTAAGTGGGTCTGTTCTTTCAATACTACTCATCATGCTGGTTCCTCTCCTGTTTCCATCTGTCTTGCATATTAACATTCAGGTTAAAATTCTTTGGAACTCTTTCTGTTTGGACTTGGTAAATAATAAAAAAACGTGAAGTATAAGAAGCAGTGCTGTGTTCTGTCAACGGTTAACACTGAGCCCGGCTTCTGGCTCTGTTCCAATGAGATCCAGACCTGTTGCTGATCCAGTTCTTGGCCTTGTTTAAACATTAACAGTTTAATGCTGGGTGTAGATTTGGTTCTGAGCCTTTGAACCTAACTTTAGTCCTGCTGAGTCAGGGGTTCTGACCACTGATCTCTATTTATTCACTGGATTGCTGATTGCCCAAAAAAAGTGAATCCAACATCTACCACATTGGTACTCCCCACTTCTACAGAGACTCCCAGTAAAAATGCCTTCCTGTGTGGCATTTGGCTGCAGAAACAAGCAGTTTGCTGGCTGTGGGAAAAGTAATTTCACAGTCAGTGAAAATCAATATATACGACAATTAGGGTTGTCAAAAGTATCGAAACTCAAAAAAGTATCGATACTGAAATGTTGTATCCGGATACAATACTCGTTTTTCTAAGCAGTCATTCATCTAAAGTGCAGAATAGAGGAAAATGCACTTTCTGAACACTGTGTGATTGAATAATTCTGTGCATTTTTCAGTTTCAGACTTTTTTTTTGTAAGAGGTGCACCTGCTGAGAATTATTTTTGTTTCTTAACCGGTTTGGCTAGTGTCATTATGTGTGCAAAGCATAGCCGAGGAAGAAACACTTAATTTTAATTTTATAAGTTTTTTATCAAGCTTGCTTAATATTGTGCACAGCATACAACCTTTATTGTATTTATTTATTAATGAAAATATTTCTGTAGAATTTTGGAGTCGTTTTTATCCTTGTGGTATTGAAAATGGTATCGAGTATCGAATATTTTCCTTAGTATCGGTATCGAGGTGAAAAGTTTAGTATCGTGACAACCCTAACGACAATGTATTCTATAGTATAGTATGTAGCGTAACATTAGTCTGGCTATCTCACACTGACTCTAAGATATTGACTGAGTTAGCCATCGACATTGTGTCTAATGTTAGAAAATACAGGTGCTGGTCATAAAATTAGAATATCATGAAAAAGTAGATTGATTTCAGTAATTCCATTTAAAAAGTGAAACTTGTATATTATATTCATACATTACATACAAACTCATATATTTCAGATGTTTATTTTGTTTAATTTTGATGATTACAAATGACAACAAATGAAAATCTCAAATTCATCATATCAGAAAATTAGAATATTGTGAAAAGGTTCAAAATTGATGGCCCCTGGTGCCACACTCTAATCAGCTAATTAACTCAAACCACCTGCAAAAGCCTTTAAATGGTCTTTCAGTCTAGTTCTATAGGCTACACAATCATGGGGAAGACTGCTGACTTGACAGTTGTCCAAAAGACGACCATCGACACCTTGCACAAGGAGGGCAAGACACAAAAGGTCATCGCTAAAGAGGCTGGCTGTTCACAGAGCTCAGTGTCCAAGCACATTAATAGAGAGGCGAAGGGAAGGAAAAGATGTGGTCGAAAAAAGTGTACAAGCAAGAGAGATAACCGCACCCTGGAGAGGATTGTGAAACAAAACCCCTTCAAAAATGTGGGGGAGATTCACAAAGAGTGGACTGCAGCTGGAGTGAGTGCTTCAAGAACCACCACACACAGACGTATGAAAGACATGGGTTTCTGCTGTCGCATTCCTTGTGTCAAGCCACTCTTGAACCACAGACAGCGTCAGAAGCGTCTTGCCTGGGCTAAAGAGAAACAGGACTGGACTGCTGGTGAGTGGTCCAAAGTCATGTTCTCTGATGAAAGTAAATTTTGCATTTCCTTTGGAAATCAAGGTCCCAGAGTCTGGAGGAAAAGAAGAGAGGCACTTCATCCACGTTGCTTGAAGTCCAGTGTAAAGTTTCCACAGTCAGTGATGGTTTGGGGTGCCATGTCATCTGCTGGTGTTGGTCCAGTGTGTTTTCTGAGGTCCAGGGTCAACGCAGCCACATACCAGGAAGTTTTAGAGCACTTCATGCTTCCTGCAGGTGACCAACTTTTTGGAGATGCAGATTTCATTTTCCAACAGGACTTGGCACCTGCACACAGTGCCAAAGCTACCAGTACCTGGTTGAAGGACCATGGTATCCCTGTTCTTAATTGGCCAGCAAACTCTCCTGACCTTAACCCCATAGAAAATCTATGGGGTATTGTGAAGAAGAAGATGCAATACACCAGACCCAACAATTCAGAAGAGCTAAAAGCCACTATTAGAGCAACCTGGGCTATCATAACACCTGAGCAGTGCCACAGACTGATCGACTCCATGCCACGCCGCATTGCTGCAGTAATACAGGCCAAAGGAGGCCCAACTAAATACTGAGTGCTGTACATGCTCATACTTTTCATGTTCATACTTTTCAGTTGGCCAACATTTCTATAAATCCTTTGTTTTTATTGGTCTTCAGTAATATTCTAATTTTCTGATATGATGAATTTGAGATTTTCATTTGTTGTCATTTGTAATCATCAAAATTAAACAAAATAAACATCTGAAATATATGAGTTTGTATGTAATGTATGAATATAATATACAAGTTTCACTTTTTAAATGGAATTACTGAAATCAATCTACTTTTTCATGATATTCTAATTTTATGACCAGCACCTGTAGTAGATAATTAGAAAATAATTCACTGTGAAATGTTAATGTAGTAATTCTTTATTAAGTGGATGACGCTGTCGTTTTTGTAGTGTTTGTTGTATTTCTCATTTGGAAAAGTTATGGTCTGAAATATATTGCATGTTATACTGATGGAAAAAAACCTCCAACATTTGACCCATATAGTATATATATATATATATATATATATATATATATATATATATATATATATATATATATATATATATATATATATATATAATAGAAAAACACTATAGCATTAGCAGACATGTACTTGTACTTCAGTCTTTATAAAATCTTAAAATTATATGTAATTACCTGTATAATGTCATCAATACATGTATATTATAGTGCATCGTCAGTTAAGCATTTTTGCTCCTCTGTATTATTATTATGCTCCATTAACACATTAATTTTATTGTGATTAATTTTTATATGTTATATTACTTGATTTATACACTTCATTGACATGTTGACGATGCAATGTGATGTAAAATTAATCTACTGGTGCTATGAAGCAGCCAGTGTGTGTCAAAGTGATGAATTTAATTTTATTTTAAAAGTCTTAAGTCCCCCCTTGAGATCGGTCTAACTAGGGAGTACCAATATGGCGGCTGGTGGCTTCACTTTTAGCAATCCAGTGAATAAATACAGATCATTGGTCGTTCCGCCTAGCTAGCGGAGCGAGACATGCATCTGGCTGTTGTCAGGTTAGTTCTGACCTGTTTGACCAACCAACAGAACCTCCATCCTTCAGGTTGGTCTACCTGCTTGTTTTCCAACCAATCAGAAACCGTTTCCAGTAACATCAGGTTCTGATTGGCTGAAACTAAACAGGAATTTTAGAATAGCTCCCCCTGCTGGATGAAGTCATTTTATATGTCATTTAGAGTCAGCAGGATTTCAGTCTATCCAGCAGGTGGCGCCAACATGCTGTCAATTGTTTACACATGTTCGATACTTTACTCATGATAAATGGGTTAATCTGCACATTTCTTCATTTTGTGTGTGTGTGTTAGACTTCCTTCATGTGTCTTCTTTAATCACCTATTATTATAGCTATAAACTAATTAACCAGAAAGTGCCCAGATCCAGAGTCATTACTGAGCCAATCAGCGTCTTCATATCTATATCAGTCTATGTCAGGATTCACTGAGCTGGATCTCAGGAAGAAAACTCATTTCTACAAATGAATGTGTGCTTGTTGTAATAAGGCATTTACCCTGGGGAAAAAAGGGAAATCTATGCGGAGACTGCATACAGAAATGTATAATTGGAAAAAGACTGAGATCAAAGGTCACTTTATTCTGTGAAAACCGACTCATCCAGAGCCTTTTGTTATGATACAGTCTATTGGGTGGGTTTGGACCAGAACCTTCACTGAACCTAAACCCAGTTAGAGTTTTCCATCATTGCTCAGGTTTCAATAAACTGAGAAAAACACATTTGGAACCTTTTTAGTTTCTCTTCTTTCCACCCTGGGTTTCCCATAGCAACCGGCCTCGGGGAAAGGTCTCCTGTGCTGTGGTCGTCAAGGCAACAAGCTGCAGCAGCAGTCTCTGTCAATATGGAGCCAATCAGCAGGCAGACACCAACCAACGTTTCCTTTAGCAGAGCTCATCTGGCGGTCATGGCAGGAAGGATGAGGATGCAGGAGGCTGTAAACAACAAGCAGCTGTAAACGAAACGCTCCCCTACAAAAAAGGAAAGCTGTAAACACAAACAATGAAATGTAAGCATGCAAAAATGGCCACACTGAGCCTTAAGAAACAGTTACTGTAAACAACAAACTTTAGATGTAAACCAATGCACCCAATCGCGTCATAAATACAACAGACATC